GGCTCCCTAATCACTGAACTGCCCCCGTGGCTCCTCTTTATCGAGCCCCAGTTGCGGGCTTCCACCTCTGGCTGCAGAGGCACTAGAGCGGCTCTCAGCCGCTGCAAGGCCCGGCCTCGCCTTAGAGTCTCCCCGCAAGCAGCACAGACGCGGCGGCGCCGCAGCCACAGCAGAGGCGCTGCCTGGGCGGGGGCTGGCTCAGCCCCGCCGCGAGACAACTGCCCAGCGCCCCTGTACCCGGGCTCCGCGCGGCCCCACGCGCACGCACTAGGGACCATCTCGGGGGGCGCGCGCGCGCCTCTCGGTCCCGGCACTGGTGTGGGTGGAGAAGTCTCGTGAGGAGCACGCGCCCCTGAGAGGCGCTTGCAGGGTCTGAGGCTGCTGCTGGGGGACTTTGGCTGGGGGCGGCGCCCAGACTCACCTCACCCCACCCCCGCCTGCAGGGCGCGGACCGGCCAGTGGTCGGCCGGCCGGCTCTGCCCTGCACAGGCCTGAGACAAGTGCTGAGCCGGCCCGCTGACCCCAGGGCGGGGAGTAGAAAAATGCAGCGAGTGATCTGCGTTAACCAGTAACAGAGTCAGGGGCTATAAGTGCTTAGTCCTCGCTGAGGCCGCAGCCAGCGCCGGAGCAAAGAAACCCACCCAGTTCTTGTGTCTTCCTCCGAAGCAGGTACCGGGAGGGGTCTGGAAAGGGGCCGATCCCTAGCCCAGGGCTCCTTCAGACGGGGGGTGTGAGTGCAGCTGGCAGCGTGCTTGGCCAAGGCAGCGCGACTGCATTCGCGTGCGTGTTTCCCCAAGGGACTTCTTCATTTTAACGGGCTGTTGTTTCGCGGGACCGGGGTTAACATGCGAGCCGTGGGTGGAAGTTAATCTTACAAGTGCATCAGATGCTGGGAGTGTAGTAAATGGAAAGGTGAACGGGGAAGCTAGCCGTGTGCTGCCGGGATGCGGTGACTGTTTGCAGTGTTTTGCCTAGCAGTGATTTGGAAAGGTATTAGATGTTGCATTCAGAGTTAGGACATAAAACGTTGCCTCTCTGAAACATGTTTGAAACATAGTATTTTCCTTTGCCAGCTGCAGCTTCTCTCTTGTCTGATTTGCCTTGGCAACTTTTGAGACCTTGAGACATGGAAGACTTATCTTATGCAAATATTGTACTACAGGTTCTCCTGCTGTGGCTCAGACATAATTTCAAAAGATAAACGTATGTCTAGACATTTACATAGCTATGTAGAGAAAATGAGCCAGCTGGTCTCACGATCTCAGGTAGTGGCTTAAATGCCAGAAATACGGTGTTCACTCCGGAATCTTGTTTTTCGAATTCATGAAAGATATAACCCACTTCGATATGAAGCAAAACGACTCCATGGCTACTGTCAACAAGCCAACTGCTGATATTTATTTATGTAGGCACCACGTATGGTACCTAACATATTTACATAAGGGTGGTTTTTGCCATGAGGGGGAGAAGAGTTGCCGTGAATTGTGTACAATTAGATGAACAAAGGAAAAATTCATGCCCATAAATAAATTCCGAAATTACTGTATTGCACAGATGTTCTGTATTTATATATAGGTGCCACGAGTACTCCTGTTCTTTTTGTATATGTGTAGCAATCTGATCCTGCAAACACTTGCATGTGTGCTTATCACTAGTTATATTAGTAGTATCAGTAATTCTGAAAACACAATACATCAAGTGTGTAGGTGACCAGTGGGATTTAGAGGACTAAAGTTCATATTAAACATCATGAACTCCTTGGGGCCTGACTACGCTATCAAGTGTAAGCTTAAAAGAAAACCCCCATGGGGGGAAAGTAAAATCAAAGCACGGTATATGAGTAACTCAGACTAAAAGGCCTAAATTGTCCAAAATGAAAACTTTTCAATTGTGTGGGAAGAACATAATAATGGAGTCCTCAGCTGAGTCAGTCATTTAGGCTTTTACCATGCTTCTGAATCTGTCTTAGGTACTCATCGACAGTCTGTACTCCTATGTTCACCTGTTTTACAAGACTGTTAAATTTTGTTCAGAGCATATCATGTAAGGTATCATTTGAAAACTCATGATTTGCTGATAGTTGTCCTGGTGAAAATGTGTGTGGCAACATTGTATGTAAAGATAGCTTCCCGGCTCTTTGAGCTCTGGTCAAGTGAAAAATTCTCTATGTTATCAAAGACATGTTCTGGAGAGCAGTCACACAAATAAGTTCCTCATTGGCAAAAGGCTAGCCAACACCTCAGCCAGGTGTCAGTGAAATCAAATGGACCATCACCTGATTAAGTTAGTCTTAAAGGTGCCACAGGACCCTCTGTTGCTTTTTACTGATTAAGTGACTACTCTTTGGCAGGAGAGGGTGTGACAAAAATCTACATTTTGACAATGAAGCAGTTTAAGGTTTCTGGACACACAGGTTTTCTGTCTCTGGAACATCAGCTGGAGATTCTTGTGCAAGAGAAAGGGCTATAAGAGGAGAGGGCAGATGCCCCCAAATCATTTCTCTCCCTTGTTTTCTACGCATATCATCATCAACCCCCTGCAGAAGAAAAGAAGCAACATTAGACTGGTGGAGAGATCCTGACTAAAAGAGTTTCAGCCAGTAAGACCGCTGGAACATCTAGGACAGAGGTGGGCAAACTAGGGCCCGATCTGGCCCACGGAACCGTTCTGCCCGGCCCCTGAGCTCCTGCCCCGGGAGGCTCGCCCCCAGCCCCTCCCCTGCTGTCCTCCCTCCCCCGCAGCCTCAGCTCACTGCCTGGGCAGCGGGGCTGTGAGCT